CCAGAAGTGTATAATACACAGCGATGTCTGTGGTCCATTTGAATGCGTTACTCCAGCGGGCTCCAAGTATTACATATGTCACATTTATCGATGACTACACCCGATACTGTTATGTATTTTTCATTAAGAATAAAAGTGACGTACTTGAAGTTTTTAAAGAATATAAAAACCAAGTCGAAAATTTTCACATTAAATGGATAAAATACTTACAGTCTCGAACGGTATTCAAAGAAGGCTAACCGCAGCATATACTCCGCAACAAAATGGAATAAGCGAAAGGAAAAATAGATCTTTATTAGAGAAGGCCAGGTGTTTATTGTCTGAAGCAAATGCTCTCAAGAAACTTTGGGCAGAAGCCATTGCCACCGCCAACTATCTGATGAATCGTAGCCCTTCAAAAGCACTGAACGGAGATTTACCGTTTACAAGATGGGTAGGCCGCCAACCGTTCGGAAATCACCTGCACGTGTTTGGCAAAAAACTTTAGTTTTAAAGAAGAACAAACGTGGTAAGCTGACCCAAAATACGAAAGAAGGTGTATTCATGGGGTACTCGCTAACAGCAAAAGCTTATAGAGTATACATACCTCAAGATGATAAGGTGGTGCTAAGCAGAGATATTAAGGTCATAGACAAAATGTATTTTGAAAATGAATTGAATGAATAAATGACCAAATAATATCCGAAGAGGAGCAACACCTGGAAAAGTCAAACGACAATATTATAGAAAAACAAATAATAGAAATAGATTTAAAGATAACGAAGAAACGTTACAAAGTCACGATGATCTGGAAGACGACACACCTATTGATGACTTACCAGAGAACGAACCTGAAACTGTAAGAGCATCAGAGAATGGGAGGCAATCCAGACCCCAAAGAAAAAGGCGTCCACCTGTGTGGACCGAAGACAAAGTTCAAAGTTCAAAATGTTATTGAAGAAGATTTGATTGATACATCGTACTTGACAAACAAAGAAGAACAAAATAATGAATACTGGCACGATGCAATAAAAGCCGAAATAAAAGCACATGTCAAAAATGGTACCTGGAAAATAGAAGGTCTTTTGACCTTCTTTGGATGAAATGAAGGAAGTGGACTACAAAATGGTTCTTAAAAATAAAATAGGGCCAGATGATAGCACGATAAGAAAAGCCAGATTAGTTGCACGGGGGTTTCGCAACGTCCAGGCGTTGACTATACTGAAACGTATGCGCCCGTTGCCAAGCTTAGCTCTATCAGATCAGTCCCAGGACTGACAATAGCAATGGAAGAAGGTTTGAAATTGCACCAGATGGATGTAACAACTGCATACCTCAATGGCCAACTGGAGGAAAATATTTTAATGAAATATCCAGAATACTTAAAAGACTTTTTGAAAGAAATTATGGTCGAAGAAAGTACAAAAGAAAACCTGATTATATACAACAAAACAGTCAATATGTTAAGAGACATAAAGGAAAATCCTAGAAAGAAAGTATGTCGCCTAATTAAAGCCTTATATGGACTCAATCAAGCGGGGAGGCAATGGTACAGAAAACTCGACATGGTACTCAAGAACCTAAGGGTTCAAAAGTTCAGACGCGGAACCATACGTTTATACTCTAGAAACCCCAGAGAAAAGAGGAGACAAGATTATTTTAGTAGTATACGTTGATGACATTTTAATCGCCTACTCGTGTCCGAATAAATTACGGCAGATAATCGCAAAATCAAACTCAAAATTTGAATAAATAAATATAAATCCTTTATTAGGGCTACCAAAGAGACTACTTGGCATAAATTTTATTTACAAGAGAAACGAAATCATATTAAATCAGGAAGAGCTGATAAACGATTGTTTAAAAAGGTTTAACATGGAAGAATGCAAGGCAACTTCCACACCTTTGGAAACGGGAAGAACCCTTGAAAAAGCAGAACAATGCGATCAAACACTGCCCTACAAAAATTTGGTTGGTACTCTCATGTATGTGGCAGTTGCAACACGACCCGATATGTTTGCAATTAGTTATCTTTCCCAATTCAATGATTGTTATGGAAAGGAACATTTTACTTGCGCCAAAAGAGTATTACGATACCTAAAAGGAACGAAGTGTCGTCTTGACATACCGTAAAACTAGTGGACAATTGGTTGGTCTAGCAGATGCAGACTGGGGCTCTTGTAAACTCGACTGAAAGTCATTTTCGGGTCACTGTTTTAAATATGCCGGGGCTCCCATAAGCTGGTCTTCCAGGAAACAAAAATGCGTAGCGCTCTCAACCAAAGATTATTCAAAGATCTCAGAGTCGAATATTATACCATCACAGTTATGAGTGATAATCAAGCTGCTATAAAATTAAGCAAGGACGCTATGGTGACTTCTAAATCGAAGCATATTGATTTGAAAATGCATTTCATAAGAGATTGCGTTCAAGACAACTTAATAGAAATTAAGTATCTGCCAACAGAAATTATGGAGGCAGGCATATTGACCAAGGCTCTGGCTGGTCCAAGACTATTGAAACTTCGGAACAGCCTGGGATTATCATGATGAACTTGCAGTTCAGTGAAGAGGAGTGTTGGTGCTGGCCACCGAACTGTCAAGCTTTTATGATTTCTTTATATGAACTATTCGCTATTCTCTATTGTCTACTAAATTGTTTATCTTGTGAAAATATATTTTATTAATTAATTTTATCTCATTACTGCTTATCATTTTACCGCGCTATTTCAATTGCTCTAACAAATACAATGATCCCAAATTTACCCAACTTCATTACAGATGTGAAACAGCTGCTGTTATATATAACAGAAAATAGCTTGAAAGAAATTTACCCAAATATTTACATTGTCATCCGAAGTTTATTAACAATTCCGGTAAGTAAAGCCACTGCTGAAAGGAGTTTTTCAAAATTAAAATAAAAATATTTAAGAAACACAATGAACAAATGCCAGGAAAGACTTTCAGCTTTGACTGTTTTATCAATTGAATCAGATATGGCATCTAGGCTAAATTACGATACAATAATAATGGAATTTAGTAAAGTTAAAAGCAGGAAATTCCTGTTCCTTTATATTCCTTAAGGAAATATAAATATTTTTAAATATACACTTTAAGAAATGTATACAAGGTGGAGATGACAATACGACAATAAATGTAAACATTGACTGCACTATTAAATATAAGTTCTTTATAGCTAAAAAATGTAGTTAGAAATAAAAAATCATTTTTTTTCCAAACAAATTCAGCCATAATTAAGCAACCAAACGATTTTAAGTGGCATACATTATTTTTTGGCGCAATTACGCAATATCCCTTTAAAAATAATCACTGAATCAAAAAATCAGAAACTGTCAATATTTTAAAATATGTTAACATGATATTTTACCGATGCATAGATCATGGACTCCTATCGTTTTACCTTATACAGCATGAAGAAAATATTTGAAATGTTAAATTATGTCCTGACACGTCCTGACTGCTGTTCTGATTGCATAAATGTCACTGGTAGAATCATCGTCAGTACTATGGAGCCATATTTTTTAACAAATGGAATTGAATTGATTGTTTTTTGGACTAGAAGCATTCTTTGAAAGCCGATATTTAATTTTCATCCCACCACCTCGGAAAGTGTAATTTTGCGCTTCGAAATCTGGCTGGAAAATTCTATTTTATTCGCTTGAGCGGCAAAGTAGATTTGAATTTAGAACATCACATATAATGAGTACTCAATATAATTGTAAATTCAAAACGTCATTAAACCTATTTAATGTAACCTCTATGGTGCCAAATTTATGATTAGAACTTTTTAAATTGTGAAAAAATTTAAATTTGGAACCTTCTTGGTTTCTTTGTTTTATTTGCGTGCTTCGCGCCATTCTAGTTTTTCACGTTTTATTGCTTAAATATTTTGTCATTATAAATTGTTTTCTTTTTCATTTTGTCATTTCCTCGCTGAGGTGGGATGAAAAGTTACGTATTGCACTCGAGTGGAAAGATTTTTCACCTTGTGCTCGTTTGTTTCCCTCGCTGACGCTCAGGATTCTAATTTAGAATCACTCGCTGCGCTCGTGATTCAACTTTAGAATCCTTCGCTTGCTCGGTCATCCAAATCGAGCACGCGGTTAAAAAGGAACTTTCCACTCTTGTATAATAAATAACTATTATTGGTATTGTCTTCTCCACCTATATATTTACGATTTTTAATTTTTCATTAATATTAATCTAGTCAGTATTTTTATGAATAAAAACTTGTGAGTGTTAATTGTTTTCTTTTTTTTATTATCTTTAGGTCGCCACAGAACAGGGCCTCGCGAAATCTGTCTTGCCCACATCAAATTTACGTCTTGCCCCGCCACTGGGGATAAACATTCAATTCCTCAAATCTGTTTGGTATATGTTGTCGGTATTGGTTTGCTGAGGCAATAGCTGCTGAGTTTAGTCTGCTTATTAACATGGTCTTTATAGTGATCTCTCTTGGGCGCTTTCTTTCTTTTACATTTATTCATCGAGTTGGAGATTTTATTCCACTGGTTATAAGACTGGTTCCACTGGTTATAGAGTCGTCAGATTCAAATTATTCTGTCGTTTTTTGTGGAGGTTTTCATCATTAAGTGATTAGGACCTAGAGGTCCATATTGTTCCCACGAGTAGGATCCAATTAAAAAGGTCACTAGGAGGATGACGCCAATTCCCCCTACAAGAAAAATACAACGTTCCAGGTCCAACGAGGTTGATCGTTTTCGGCTGATCTCATCAGCCACCATCAGCATCCATGGGCACCTACCACACCGTGAAGTTGGGGTAACTACCGTGAAGGTTTACTACCTCTTCGTCCAGACAATTACTTACCCCCCCCCCCCCCCCCCCGCCGCTTTCAGTTAATACTTAACCCACCATTATACATGAGTAATAAGATCAACAAAACACTTTTAATTTATAATTATGATTTAATTTGGATGCCTGTAGTAAAACATTCGTAATTAGGTATAAAGTATAAATTTGTTTCTCTTTTTTTTCAGACAAACGAAGATAAGGTCAAAGGATTGGAACAAGAGATGAATTATAGAATATACAATATAGAAAAGGTAAATCTGCAACAAAATATTTCAATATATTGATATTATTTATTATTTAAATCCGTAATTTAGAAATCCAAAAGTCGTTTGGATTGATTTTATATCTGTTTTTCAGGTGGAACTATCGAACGGGCCAATACATTTGGTACGTTTAAGAAGACCACTCGGCTTAGGCGAAAGCCCTGTATCACATGTTGTGGAAGCTTCAGTGTAAGTACAACATAATTCTATTCATCATTGAATTACATAAAATATATTTACTACAATTTTATTAATTACAATTGATCTCAATTGTCAATGTGCCAAATAAAAAATAAAGTTAGGAAACTAAGAACCTAAACAAAAAACATTTGCAGGTGGAAATCGATCCCCCTATACGAGCGCGAGCGTCTCACGTCCACGCTCAAGGGTTTCTGGATGCTGTACACGGAGTTCCAGCGGCTGTTCAGCCGGCTCGAGATGGTTCACCTGGACGCAGACACCAGCCGCGCAGAGCCCTCGCTCACGGAGAAGCACCGCTGGCAGATGCGCATGCACCAGGGCGGCTGGCGGCGCGGCGTCACCGCCGGCGGCTGCAGAAACTTCGTCCGTCAGTTATATACCATTTATTTATATACACACATAAAAAAAGTCTAAGCAACACGCATCATTTACAGAAACTGAATGTTTTTATTATTCGATATATTTTTTTCTTTACAAAGTAGATTGGTATTACAATCCTTTTTGTTCTGGGAAACATATATGACTGATTGTAATGTAATGTAATTCTTGCACTTACATACATACATGACATTATATATTCGTGTTATTGCTATTACATTAAGTTTAAATAGCAAATCGAATATTCTGTTTTTTTTTTGTTTCCAGATTTCTTCCACATGAACCCGCAAATCCAATTGATCCTCAATGAGTCGGACACTGTCGTCATCTCGCTGAACCAGCACAGCATCATGGAACCCAAGGTCATCGGCTTCAGCATATACAAACTCCCCAAGTTCCTTACGGAAACAGCATCCTTAGAATTTTTCAAGAAAATCAAGAGTTCCATTAATTCCCAATATACAAACAGTCGTCAAGTTAGTCACAGGTAGGTAACGTTCATTCTTGTAGCTGTAAGCCAAGCGATTGCAGCACACGCGATTTGCATAGCGAAATTATATCAGCAACGACAAACAGTCTTTTAAAACTTGTTTTCTTTTTGACCTTCTTTTTAGGTGTCAATTAGAATCTGGAGCGTATTTGGTGATGCCCACAACGTTCGAACCCAGAGAAGAGGCCAATTTTTCTTTGAGGATCTTCTCTAATAAGACTTTGAAAATGATGGTCCTAGACTACGCACCTCAGATGTTGAAGGCGGCTTTGGTCAAGGCGCCTCGAGGAGTCGAAGCCAGCAGTTACTGGCAGTATGAAGCTGTGTTTCTCCAGTTGGCTGATGAACATAGGACGATAGACTCATTCGAGCTCCAAGAACTATTAGACGCATGTTTGCCTAACGACTACATAAAAAGTTGTGCTTCAATAGACACGTGTAGACAAATTGTGCTATCTATGGATGTATCCTTTTCAAAATTAACAAAAAATTTAGGCTATTCGCGAAAAATTAAAAACCTACCTTAGTATTGCAAGCGCCTATAGGCTATGATGATACAAGTATTTTAACACCTTCACCGCCGCATCAGCATTTTACAACTGGGATTATGATACAATGAAGGATGGCCAGCACATTTAAGTTTTAAGTATTACAGGCGAAAGAACGCCGGAAGAAAATCTCATTTATTTTATTGTTATTATTTAGTTTTTTATAACATTAATTTACAGCGTGCGATAATTTCAACTACCTACCTACTTACTTATCCCTTACCTAATACGCATCAAACGTTGCCCACAGACGTAGATAGAAAAACGGCAACGGGCGAGCGAAATCTTAGTAATAGATTCCTTTTGATATTCCTTTGGGTATGGAACCCTAAAAGCTTTATAAATGTTATGTAGGTATACAGCTAATTTCCTTATCGCGTACAACAGAAGGGTGGAACCGGTCGAATATCCCTGTCGGACTTCAAAGACTTGATATGCAGCTTGAAGCACTGGCAGATTGTGTTCAAAAGTCATGCGCGGGAAAAGATGGGCGTTCTGTTAGCGGAGCGGTTTAGAGACGCACTGAGGGAGGTTGGCTTCATAGTGCCGGAGAGAGTGCTGGCTCTCTTGGTCCTCAGGTATATGAGGAAGGACGGCATGCTCAGGTTCGGGGACTTTGTGTCCGCCGTTATGCATCTACATCGAGCTTTCAGTGAGTGTTCTTAGTTGTTTTTACGTTTCTGAGGTATTTACAAGGGTTTTGGACAAAAGTAACGCGCAGGAAAAGAGGTTCGTTCTGCTAGCCGAGCGGTTCAGGTAAGCGCTGCGAGAGGTCGGCTGCATAGTGCCGGAGGCTGCTTGCCCTGCTGGGCCTAAGGTATATGAAGAAAGACGGCATGCTCACGGACGGTTTTGGGGATTTCGTGGCTGTCGTCGAGCATACAGTGAGCGTTTTTAGCTATTTATATATTTCTGAGGTACCTATTTACAATGTTTAGAGAGAGAAAAAGTTCAAAGAGTAATAAATTTTTTTACAGAAAATATTCAGCTTAACTAGCATTACGATTCAATAGGTACATACCGTTATCATCGTCATCAGTCGATTAATATCCCCACTCCGGTGGCACAGGCAGGGCTATCACACAGAAGGAATAGGGTAGGGAGCTTGGGCCATGACATGACCCACCAATTCAGCTTTACTAGCGTTACGATTCAATATGTACACTCCGTTATCATCGTCATCAGTCGATTAATATCCCCACTCCGGTGGCACAGGCAGGCCTATCATACAGAAGGGATAGGGAGCTTGGGCCATGACATGACCCAATACTCGGGCCTAATGCCGATGGATTAGTTATAGGTGGGTGTAACGATTGCAGATGCAACAAGGACCAACAGCTCAACGTAGTACTTTCCGGACCAGGGAGGAATTCGAAAAAAATAATAAAATTACTGAAAGTGCCTGGAATAACCTTTACATTAAGTAAATGAAAAATATTAAATATGTAAAAAAAAAACCGGCCAAGTGCGAGTCAGACTCGCGCACCGAGGGTCCCGTACAAACTGAATTTAATACCTCTACGCGTTCATGAGAAAAGAGGAAGTAACTTTAACATTTACAAATTTTTTTTTTATTTTATGATGTTACTAAAAATTTACTGTCGTTATGACATGAGTATTAGATATGAATTTCAGTTTGATACCTCCACACGTTCCTGAGAAAAATGATCTTGACAGACGGACAGACGGGCGGACGGACAACAAAGTGATCGTATAAGGGTTCCGTTTTTTCCTTTTAAGGTACGGAACCCTAAAAAGAAACAGAAGGTTCATTTGATTACAGCAGAATTGATATTCTGTTTATCTTATCAATTTCTATCCCATAGTAACTATTCATGAGAGCCAAGCAGTTCAGTCTGTTTTTACTCGTTGTGTTTCGCAAATAGTTTTTAAGTCTCCGTAAGTTTGAAAACGTCCTTTCTGGGGGCCAATCGCCTAACGGAAATGCTTTGGGAAACGCTAACGCTTACGATTTTTATTGTTATTTCTAGCCGCCTGAGGTTTTCGAATACCTCACGCTCATTTTTTTTAATATTGTTATTACCAATGCAAAAGAAAAAGAAAGAGCGCGAGGCATTTGAATACCTCAGGCGGCTAGAAATAACAAAATAAAATCGTAAGCTTTAGCGTTTTCCAAAGCATTTCCGTTAGGCGATTGGCCCCCTGGTGTAGCAGTGGAAACAGGTATGGCAGGCAATATTTTTAACGTGTAAATATTTGGACATAATTTTTGATCGCACTTATCTAAGCATTCCAAAGCAGATTTTGGAGTAGGGGAGGTGATAGTCACAACTGTTTTCCACACTTCAAGTTCCGCTTTGACAACAGACGTACTTCTTTCGGGTAGCACTGCCGAGAGTGGGAGCGCGAGTGGAATAGTGTGGGTGGGGATACGCCCGTGCCGGCCATTACGAAAGTGGCTTAATTTTCACGATCGCAGACCGAACTCTGTAAAGTTCTGCGTCATCAAGCTTCTCAATATAAGGAATTTCGATAGTTCATTTTATCATTTATTGTTTCCTTGCAGACGTCTTCTATACAAATGATTCTCCGCGATCAGACACTATCAATTTGAGTCTTTTAGAGGTAAGTTTAACATCGATTTTAATATCTGTTCGGTACTTATTACTCTTATATTGAACCTGAAAGGTAACTTTGTTCAAGATCAATAAAAATTAAAACTCATTGCCCTGTTAAACCATATTAGCGGCCGATTCAGCTGAATTTCACCGCGTGATATGTGCAGCCTAATATAATACAAAGTAATTGCAATAGCAATTACGTGGAATTACCGATTTCTTTAGCCAAATAAATTGTGTTATCTTCAGATAGTATTATACTTTTATTTTCTATAATATTTTAGTACCTTCCTACATCTGTATTATATCATTTCAGTGGCTGAAATGCGCTTTGATGTGTTAGCGCCATTGCATTGCTGTGACGGCAGAGAAATTAACAGAATGGAAAGAAAACTGATAAAAATACGTGATATTGGTGTTTGTGACACAACTATCTCGGTAGATTGTACGACAATTTGACTGAAACTTTGGCACTACGCAGGTGTCTATTCAGAATATATGAGATTCCTAGGATACCCTAATCTTTGCCTAGGACTATTTGTTTCCAATGACTTTAATTCAAAACAGTGTTACAAATAAGGTATTATTGAAACAAAAACATAATATAAAAATACAGTATAAAAAATCCGTCATATTTTAACAAATTGGCCAGGCTACCTAATAACATTGTAAAACTGGCGAAGTCATTGGTTTAGCTGTTTGATTTGACAATTGCTTAACTCAGTAACGACAATGGGTAGAAAAAACAAGTTACCTATTCAGAATGAATTTACTAACGCTTGACTTGTTTTGCTTGGTGTTTATAAAGAATCAGAAAACGGAATATAGTTTTATTATATAATTTCAGCTCGAACAATATATATACACTCTGTATATTTTTTATATAAGTAAATAAATTTAAGCTTTATGGCTTAAAGGTATGTTATTATTTAGCTTAGAAACTGTACAATGTAAATAAAATCAACAAATTATTATGTTACTAGCGAGTAACTAGTATTTTCAAAACTGAATTTACCTTTATGCTTAGATAAAAAATGGGTCTCCCGTCGGTCGACCGCAGGGAGACCAATCATTTATCTATCATCTGGCTTTAGGTATTATCTTGGTGCTTAATAAAAAGTATTTATGTGTAAAGTGATTCATAATGACAGTGAAGAAATGGTGTACTTAAAGGCACCAAGGTTTGCGAGTTTATTCATGAACTAACAAATTCTATTTTATATATGCTTAGTATTAAGGACCGTGTTGACTGGATGCTATATCTGTCGTATATGTTAGACCTAAGATATAATATAATACTCAATGCATTTAACATTAGATAAACAATTTCTTGCAACGATCTCGCTTGAAACGAATGTATAATAATAGTCAATAATTATATGTTAATATTAAGCCTTCTTTTTAAATCCACCGAGTTGGCTGTACGATCTATTTCTATGTTACATATTTTTTTTATCAACTGTCTACATTTAAGTGCGTCCGCTCAAACACTTAACTCTTTCCATCTAAGGTTCAGGCAGTCTAGACCTAGCGGAAATAGCCTAAGCCCATGTTTCAAAACTAAGCTAAGGCAAAATAACAGTAAAATATATAACTTTTATAAAATCAGAACTCTCTAATCCGAGCACGTGTTGAGTGCCCGAAGTGTCTAAAGTAAGATGTCCGAAATGTAAAACCCCGGAATAGGGAAGATGCAATATTTTTATTTTTGTTTTCATTTTAAAGAATTCCATGTAGAATAAACCACAGATATATTAAAAAATTAAAACATTGTGATTTATCGGAAAAAATGCGGTTTTAAATTGTCAATTTAAATTTTCGCGCGAAAACGAACCTATGGTTGCGATGACGTCACTCCTGTCAGTCACTGGTCGTAATTGTTCGTTGCTGGCTTTAAAATTTCATACTTATGCATATTTTTTCGACTTTCGAAATATTTTTTTGAAAAATTTAAAATGGACTATCCATCAACATCATGTGATCATAACAATACCACTAATATTCCGAAAAAAAGCCGTGTTGACTCATGTTTTGTGCCAATCTACTTCAACAAAGTTCCCAAATAAATTGTTTTTGACTGGAACTTCTACCCAAAACTGAAAAAAGTGGTTTCAAGCTGCGAAGAGAAATGACAATTATTCTCCAAAGACCATTATTCGATGCTGAGAAGATCACTTTGACGTATGTCGGCGAATATACTTGTTATATGCTTAATTAATCTGCTTGTACGTAAAAACGCATTAGTAACCTACCTAATACTTACAAAACCTGTCTATAACATATTTTTAATTTTACAGTTGGAGAATGACGTCAAAAATTAGATAAAGTTTAAAATGTGTGGCACAATCTTCACATTGGCAGGACTGAACCAAGCTTTGCGTTTCATTTAAAATAACTATAACACGATAACCTTCTTTACGTACTTTATGCTCCGGAGAACTCGACCTTTTACTGTACATAATTCTCCCTCTCTTTTAATTTGGACATAGCCGATTGCATTATCGCCGCAAGATTTGTAGAAGCCGCTGAATAAAATACGAAGTTTAACAACTACGATTTTTACATACCCTTTCATTTCTACACTTAAAAACTCTGCACTTTGGACAAAAAAGTTATAACCATGTCAACGCTAACTCTTGGTAAATTCCTGGAGTCTGCTTTGATAAACGCAACTTCCATTTTTATTAAATGTAAAAAAACGCAATAAATATTCCCATAAAATAATATTAACTTAAACAACCATAACCTCAAAGAAGTTGTCATAACAGGAGTGACGTCACTAAACGCTGATTGGTGTTTTAAAATACGTTCCGTTTCAAGGATTTTTAATTCGTAATAATAGTTAAAAAACAACATTATGTAAAATAAAAACGTTGCGTGGCATTTCTTTTATATTTTTTTAACATTTTAATCATAAATATTATATATGCATCTTCCCTATTTGGTATGCCTTCCAGCATTTTCAGTTCACAATTTGAGGGAACGCACTTAGTTTAGTAATAGCATAAGACCTATTTGTACTGATACATATTACTTTTAAAGAATTTACTTTTCTCATCGCTTTACCTTCATAGTTCTTATTATTTCAATAAAATTAAAAATCAGTATCTGTACGAAACTTTTTGTTTATTTATTAATTTATACCCACGCCACGGTAAGGGTTGACCCCTTACTTAAATTTTTATAATATATAGGTATATAATATATGTAAGTAATAGATATCCAATAACATCAAACGATAGGCGGGCGCTTTCATATAACATTTAGTCCACACAAAACCAAAGATTTAAATCGTTAGATATCACCGAAAAACTGTGGCTATATTTTGCAATAACTTTATGATGATGGCCGTTTGACACCTTACAAAAGTGAAGTGAATGTCAATTTGTTATCGAAAAAATACACTAATGCTATTAAATGTGAGTCTATTATATATGGGTGAATATACACGTAACCTCGTAACGCCCGCGGTCCCTAATAAAATACTAAAACAAACATAGCCTACAGGCCCAACAATTCATACATACTCATACTCCTAAACACCCACGGTCCTTTTTTAACGATTAAATCATTTTGGCGATACTGTGGATTTAAATTTGCCGCTCTGAGTATAACCAACATAAAAATACAAGTATTGGGATGGCTGCTATCTATGGGCGCGAGTTGATGTGGATTAAAAAAAAACAACTGTCAAAGTCATTTAACAAAGTTTGACGACTTGGCACACCAAGGGAGACCACATAACCAGTGTTGCCAGGTCTCCAGATTTTACAGGAGATCTCCTGTTGAAAAACAGGAATTTCTCCTGTTCTACTGTTTTTCTACATGAATCTCCTGTTTTTTTAGAATACGATTTTCTTTTTTAAATTGCATGTTGAGTTGCATTTTCCGTCATTAATAATGTAGATAACCTTCATAATTATAAAATAAATGTAATAGTCTAAAAAAATAGCTTTGAAGGGCGGCAGAAGCCACAGAAACACAAACCGTTACTGGTCTTTATCTTGATTTGATTTACCAATTCTGGGGGTTGTTTTTCTTGTAGCTCTTTCCATACATCTACTGTTTTTATCTATAACGCTTCCCGATTTTTGAAAATCGGACCTGGCAACACTGCACATAACTAATCGTAAAATATTTCTATAATCTATTAATTTAAAAGCAATAATTTATCACAATTTCATTAATAATTGTATGACTCATTGTTTGAAACCGTTCTTTTATTATTTACTCCAATAGATTAACGATATTTAATACCTAAAGTAATTGATAAAAAAAGGACCTCGAGCGTTGACTACATAAAAGCCATATATTAATATTTTTGGTTTTTCTTATTGTAAATTGCAATATCTACCGCAGTTACTGCCTGTTTTTTAGTTTTGAGAGATCAGGATAAATACAAGTCGCTAAATGAGTCTAATATCGAGTTGCATCAATTTGATGCCGCTGGCGAGGAATTGCAAAGAAAGTTCCACTCAAATAGATCCAACAACTTCGGGCATATAAATTGGAGTTTGGCGAAATAATAACAGAATCGTCATATCTTACTAATCACGCTGACGGCACCACATCTGAATGTAGTTCTGATGATGAAAGGAGAATTCACCTAAAAAGAGGTGGCAGAAATTTCCGAGTTGGATTGCCATTAGCCCGCCGACGGGCTGTGCACATGCCTGCAATAGCTGACGTACAGAACAAATGTCGTCGGCGAGGTTGCAAGAAGAAAACTAGAAGGACATCGTATCTGAAATGTCAGTTACACCTGTGTTAGCAAAAAAATTTTTAAATTTTCAAATTTATTTTTTATTTTAATTAGCTATTTGATATCCAAGTATAGAAGACTGATTATGGAAAGAGAGTAATTATTATTTTTATTTTGCTAAATGGTTTATCATATTCAGAATTTGTTTATAATCATAAGTGGACATTATTTTTATTATGGGTTGCTATTTAATTTCTTTTACTGAAGACTGATTATTATAGAAAGAAAGATTGTTAGTTTTATGTTGCTGATTAGATTCTAATCAATTAATTAAAGTTTCATTTACTACAAAAACTGGTTTTTGTGTGCTACTTACTTCGACTCTACACCCTTTTCAACGTACTAAAACATAATTATGTTTGCATTTAACGCCCAAAGTACTTTCAAACGTATTAAATAAAATCACTTGTGTATTGCCTTTAATACCCAAAGTACTTTTTTTGCGAATTGAATTTTCATCCTATTTGTTGTTCAAAAATGGCCTTTAGGATCCTAATAAGCTGCCAAAGAAATTACATCTATATTGCACAACTCTAAGCATCATATATCTGGCAAAGTTTGGGTCTGAACGACAATAAAAATTTAGGATTTAAAAAAGGACCTTGGGTTGTAAGACATGATTAGTATTAAAAGAAGTTGGGCGTTACGAGGGTAAAGTTGGGTAACTTTTAGGAATATTTTGTTTACGATATTTTTTAAGTAAAATTTATGCAAATTTGGGTAAAAAGATTAGCCATCTTATATACAAAATGGCTGGCTAATCTAATGAATATATTGCTTGTATCCGGTCCAGTCACTTTTTCAAGTAGATGCTGAGATATTTAGATTTTTCCGAATTTGTTGCCAGAGGACTGACGAGGGTGACATAGTACTGGCAAAAAACACAACTTCATTAGATATTGTATGAAATTTATTAGGATTTGGAAAAAATCTCTTAAAATCCAATAATGGCACATATTTTGAGTCTTAATTTACTTAAATCACAATTAAATAATTATTAATGTTATACTGTAGGAACAAATCACCACCTTTAGAACAGCTTTTATTTAAATTTTAATAACTTAATATTACTTAACTTATACTACTTTGATTTAGTTTAACTGAACATTATACATTTTCTAAGTAGTCAACAAACAATTGAAACAAAATTATGACCCTCTGAGCCTTACAGTTATCAATTAGCATACAATTTATAAACTATCTCAGCCAACTGTAATCTTACATTTTTATATTGTTATGTTGCTTAATTTATAATAGGTACTTTGATGTATACCTAACTTATCAGTGTACATTTTTAAGTAATCAACAAATATATATAGAATTTATGCCTTAGAGCCAAGTAATAAAAATGAGATCTTATTCTCAACAAAAAATAAAATTAATACTTCAAAATAGCTTAACAATAACTTTTCAAAAACATCAATATCTTCTTTAAATTGGTTAATTAATGTATTAAATTCTGTAATGGGGTTTGGTACAGGTAATTGTTTTACAACTTGATCCATCAGAACGTCATCTGATACATATCTTTCATTCAATTTATACAGAGTACCATTCTGATTAGAAATTTGGAGGAAAGTCACTCGCAATTCACCTTCTTCATCATCAACAGAAGAGCAGATTCCTGCATTACGATATTCGGTAGTTCTTGTGACATATTTGAACATTACATAATCATCACTGCTGTAAAGACTGCTGTTGTGAATAACCGCTGGCTCCTGATGTTGAAAGATTTCTATCCAATTTTGAGTGGTCATTGATGTCTCTCTTGTAAGTGGATAGTGCTATATCATCATCTTCAGAGTCTTTAAATACGGTAGAACGATTTATACCTGTACTTTATTGCTGACACACGCTAAATGTCAGTACTCTGGAAACAAGTCAATCCTCTGGCACAAAGGACTGACGCCAACGAACTGACGAAAAAGGCACTAACCTCAAGGTTATCATTAAGACTAACGTTTAGTTTGATATTTCCGAATATCAATAAGCTACATAAAAAAAAGAACAAATCTAACTACGTATAAATTAAAATATAACACAGGTTTACAAGGAAATAACGACTCACCATAGGACTGAAATTTTGACTGGATCGGCACGTGTTTACATGATAAACACGACGCTAGCACTGGCACAGTAACCGCGGCCGTAAAATGGCGTAGTCTGCAGTTTACGTTACTACCCCCGTTGAAATTTAACACGGGTTGGAATTTGAATCGTCAATATTTAGCGGAAAATTCAAATTCAAAAAACACAGCGGACTGGCGAATTAAAGTGAACACAAAGTTTATAATTATTTTTAGAACTTCGGTAATCATAAATAAATCAAAACGATTGCCGCACATAGGATCGCTGAGCTTACACACATCAAACAAAGTTTCAGATCACTTGCAAACGCTGATATATGTATTTTCAAAATTTAATTTAATCAAGAGAAAATTTTTGCGATAGAATCAGAAATGAGGAAATCCGTAGGAGAACCAAAGTTACCGATATCGCTCGAACGATTGCTCTGCTGAAGTGGCAGTGGGCGGGACACGTAGCAAGAAGAACCGATGGCCGTTGGGGCGGAAAGCTTCTGGAATGACGACCACACACCGGACGACGCTCAGTGGGCAGGCCCCAGTGGGCAAGGTGGACCGACGATCTTGTGAAGGTCGCGGGAAGCCGATGGATGCGAGTGTCGCAGGACCGATCGGTGTGGAGATCCTTGGGGGAGGCCTATGCTCAGCAGTGGGCGTCATACGGCTGACATGATGATGATGATGATGAAGAGAGATAGTTTAACTAAACTTAAAACCTTTTATATATATTTAAAGCATGTAACTGCTTGATGTTTAAATCGTAAAACCTTTTATTAATATTGTTGTTAATCTAATACAAAATAACTCCTCCTCTGGCTCGAATACATGTGGAGATTTTGATGTGTGTATGTAGACATTTATATTTTTCATTTGATTCAATAGTTTTGATCAGCTACTGTTTGCAATATTGGTTAAAATACCAAAAAAAAACTAGATGAGACTCGCATTTAATAGCATTACTTTATATTTTCGATAAAAAATTGACTTACACTTCACTATTGTAATGTGTCAAAACGGCCATCATCATAACGTCATTGCAAAATATAACACAGTTTTTCGATGTCAGGGCGATATCAACGATTTAAATCATGGGAGATGGGAGAAAAAAGTGCAGTCACGAAGATAAATGATGTGGCAGAAAGTTTGCCGCTCCAACCATCCACACCTTGCTGGCCTAAACCCAATCCCCTACCCCGCCGAGCCCTGGGGGCCAATCGTCTAGCAGGATTGCTATTGCTATTGCTAACGATTCCATTTTGTTATTTCTGACCGCCGAAGGTTTTCAAATGGCTCGCGCTCTTGTTTTCTCTTGTACTTTTAATAAAGAAAATGAGCGTGAGGTATTTGAAAACCTTAGGCGATCAGAAATAACATAATGAAATCAAGAGCGATAGCAAATAGCAATCCAGTTAGACGACTGGCCCCCAGGGCTGGCATGGTAGGGGATTGGGTTCAGGCCAGCAAGGAAAGGATTGTTGGAGCTAGAGTTACGATCCATCCATATTAGTCCGGACATGTCCGGTCTTCTATACTAGTCTGGACTTTGTTCGGATATTAAAATTGTCCAGATTTTTTAAATAACATTGGATATGAATAATTAAGGTACATATAGATTTAAATACCATATGTGAAGGTAATTTGTCGCGCCCTGTATATAAAAAAATGGTGCAGTAGGTATTGGTCACCATTGGCTCTAGTCAGTAGAACAATACCACACACACATATAGCAACTGTTATGTGCTCAACTATGATTAGTTTGATTAAGTTGCCATTTAAACTGAGTGAAATGGTAGGAGAAAAGAGTGTGAAACTGGATTTACAGATCCCAGTCATCAAATTTAGTCAACTTCTTTTTCACATCAATGAAACAAGAACAGGACTTCTGAACTGCACAACAGGACAGCAATAAAATCAAAAATTAAGATTATATTAACCTTTAATTCCTACTTTACTGACAAAAAATAATTTCTATTTACATGAAATAAATAAAGTTCAAAGTGCACAACATACACAATCATTTAATTCAGAGAAAATGTATGTCCATTTATGTTTTATTACAACCTTACCTACAGACCTTTCCTAATTAGTTGGCAATAGTCAAAAAAGTAAGAACCAATTAGTTATCTAGTAGGTATTTCAAAAATTAAGTGATATGGATAGATATATTAAAAAGTTTGGTTTGGAGGACCATAGAAAAATAATATTATAAAAATGCGATGGACTTGAACATTTTTGCAAATCATAATTATATCAATTCACTTTTCTAAAATCAAGCTATAATCAATCAATGACATAATGGGTATAAAAGAAATCCTTCAATCATTTTCTGTGTCTGAAAATGCAAAGTTTACATTATGTAGCATAAATTCAGTGCTTGTTAAGTTTACACTAAACCAGAGAAACTGTTTTGCAAAAGATAGTGTCTGAAGTCCCTTCTCATACAATTATGTATAAGGCAACTTAACGGTATGTGCTGCCACTCCATGCTCCCTCTTAGGGCAGCGCACACCCTTAAGGATAGCATACTAATAACTCACTTAGTTTATTTTTCATTTTTTTCTACATTTTCTACTGCTTCCTGTGAACAAGGCTGTGTTGCTGCTTTATGGAGCTCATATAGTTGAACAATTTGTTCATCGGTCATATGATCTAAGAGTTGTGGATCCATATATTTTCCTACTGTCTTCTGCTTAACTTGTTGAAGTGGCTTCATTTGCTTAGCTAAATTAATTGCATAATCCTAAAAAAAATGATGAACAATAAGTTCTGATTTCATTTCAACAAGGGCATATTTGATTCAATAAAGCAGCCCATTGCATGAAAAGAAAATTTACTTGAAAAATTAAACTCAGCCAATATTTCAAAATAGAATTGAAGCAGCAACTTTCGCAAACCATGCGAATGAACTAACTACTATGTAACTAAGACCTTACTGCTACTGTTCATTAAAAATAAACATACAGCCAAAGGTTCACCACACTTGGGTAGGTACCGGAATGAGATTATCCACACCTTTTACTGGAGGTTGATTATTGAAATTGGCCGTTAGATAGACATAGTTAATGTTAAAAGAATTATAACTATCGTTTCAATGTTAACACTTACAGTCCATTCATTTAGAAATATCCGTGACTCCTCTGGATTGCAGTTCTTGTGACGCTTGAATTCATCTCTCGCGTAATTGTCTCCCATGATGCGAAGCTCGGCAGGTAGAGCTCTGTGCACTCTGAAGATCAATTTGTACAATTGCCTCACACGAGATGCATGTTCTGGTCCGAACATCTTGTAGCCCCTGTCATAAACTTGCCTTTGCTCCACCACAATAACCATAAGTCTTGTCAAATATTTTATTTAGTATAAAAAAAAGAGTAAATTCGATGAGAAATAAGTTAGAAACATAGTTATAACTTTTATAACTCACAAATAAAGTTTGTTTTGAGGATGAAAATTAATTAATTTTATTTTTTTTTAATTTCATTAATTAATTTAAGCTAACCTAAAAATAGGTTAGCTTCATAATCAAATTAAAAAAAAATGAAATGAAAAAAGTATTGTTATATTTGTTTATGGTTAAGTTATACCTCGTTTATAACTCGTTTAGACTATGCCCATGCCGCTGCCCCTCGCGTTGCCGGCAATAATTCCCTAAATATTTCTGCGGCACGATAGAGAGAAGTATGTGTTTACATACTGCCCTACCTCTCACTTCTCTTCAGAGTTTCGGCAATGGCAGACATCGAAGTTATAACAGCGGCCGCGCTGTGTCTTTTTGCAATCCATAATTATGTTCGAAATTTAAATAATTAATAATTTTAATATAAATAAATTAATAAATATTAATTATTAATTAATTAATAATATTTACTTCACATCTTTCTCCACCAAGCGCGTGGCGCGAATTAAGCGACGCGCAGTGTGAAAACGCAATGCCACTCACGCTGCCGGTCCTTTGACTTCCGCACAAAAAACCGCTCTTTTGGGGAGCACCAGGCAGCGCGAGTGGCATGACGAGCATACTCGTCATGCCCACTTCCCTCCTTACTCGCGCTGCATGTAAACGAGGTATTATACCTCGTTTACTATATTCGAATAATAATATACTTATTCGAATAATGACATTAGTATACTACTAACTTGCCGTTCGAATAGCCAAATTAGTAGTCGCGAATTAGTCGAAAGCTAAAATCATTCGTAGTCACGCATCGCTACTTTCTCCACCAAACGCGTGGCTAGGGATGGGCGTTTTTAGAATAACGATGCGCAATAACGATGCCAGGTTCGGATGCGCGCATCCGATGCCACTGGATGCCGTTATTGGATGCCGATGCCATCTAGTTTTTGTCAACGTTACCATGGCAGCGGCATCGATTAACGGCATCCAGTCGTATCGGATGCGCGCATCCAAACCTGGCATCCTGCCTGCGTTCAAAACCTCTGAGTGAAAATTTTTATGTAATAATTTTGCCAGCATTCAATCTTTTCAGATAACATACCGAAAAGTAAATAAATGGTTTTCGGTTACATTTTCAAGTCCTGATTCAAGGAATCGAAGAGACAGAGCCACACAAAACACGCATCTGTAGAAATTCATATTGCATCGTATCCTGTGATACAAGATATCGACATTCAGTTGACATCGGTGCGATGCCGGCATTAATGCGATGCCGGCATCGATGCGGGCATCCGATGCCAATTATCTGATACCGATGCGCATCGATTTCAAAAATATCTAAAAACGCCCATCTCTACGCGTGGCGCGAACTAAAACTTAGGGTGCGGCCAGATTGCACTCAGATTCAGTTTCAGATTCTGAAAACAAGCGCGAGAAATAAACAGTGTAGTCTAAGCAGGTTGCCTGCTTTTTCTCGCGCTTTGTTTTCTGAGTCTGAATCTGAATCTGAATCAGGAGTGCACTCTGGTCGTACCCTTCGACTACACTGTTTATTTCTCGCGCTTATTTTCGGAATCTGAATCTGAATCTGAGTGCACTCTGGCCGCACCCTTACGTAGTAACTAGTACCTAATCTGTGACTAAAACTAAGCGACGCGCAGAGTGGGAACAAGCATTGCCACTCGCGCTGCCCAGCGCTCCCCAAAAGAGCGGTTTTTTGTGCGGAAGTCAAAGGACCGGCAGCGCGAGTGGCAATGCTTGTTCCCACTCTGCGAGGTCTAAACGAGGTATTAGAAGTAAGTGAAAAATAAACGAGTTGTCACAGCGACACTGAAATAACAAGAAGGGTTTTATTAAAATATTATTTTAAGTCATAGATAAATGATTGGTCTCGCTTCACTCCACTAGATACCGCGCTATCAAAAAACAACAGCTCCGGTTATGGGGCAACTCATTATTGTAGTGTGTGTATGTCACTTTGCAAGGACGGTGTCATATGTCAAAAAAAATGTAGCCAGCTGCTCAACTGCTACCCCAGTAATAGGGAAAATATTTTATGCTGTTGTCGATCCACACTAACAATACCAATTACAAAATCTGTACATATTAAATGAATATTTATCATTTTTAGTTTTTTTTTGCAAATATACGTGATGCACGGAGGCGCCAATCGTATCTAATTTTATCACGCTTGCATAGTTAGTTTCTTTATTTTTATCCCACCTGTCAATAGTTTGGTTACAAATTCTTATAATTGCCGCCGTAGTCTGAGTGGTATGTACGCCAGTTTTGATGGTGTCGGCCTTCATAGGTCATAGGTCCTGGGAGCTAGGCTAATAGATGTGAGACTTTCGATATATATAAATATTTATTATACATTTAGTGATATCGATTCTGGCATGATTCTCTACAGCTAAACTTAAATTTGACAACAGTGCATCCTTGTCATTCTCTATACAGAATGAAAAGGAGAGACTGATGTTAAATTTGGTTTTAAGTTTAGAGAATCACGCCAGAATCGACCCCATTATCTTTATAACTCTTTAAAGTCACTGGTGTCGATTCTGGCTTGATTCTCTAAACCTTAACTTGATGACATCAGTGTATCCTTGTCATTCTCTATACAGAATGAAAAGGAGAGACTGATTTTAAATTAAGTTTTAAGTTTAGAGAATCATGTCAGAATCGACACCAGTGTTGAGTAAATTTATAATTATTATTAACCATGCAGACACTAGAAATTGAAATAAAACTATAATAACAATATATATAGTTAAAACTATTAAAATAAGCAGGTTAACAAAAGAATAAAGTTTATTATCAAAAAATAAAAATTACATGCCACTAACTTGAACAAGTTTACG